TGGAGTTGTGCAACCATTACCACAGTCAATTTTAGAACATTTTCTTCACCCACAAAAGAAATTTCATACCCTCGAGAAGTCACAGACTTCTAGAAGTCACCATTTCCTCCCAAATCCCAGCCCCTAGACAACCACTAATATATTTTCTGTCTCTATAGACTTGCCTATTCTGGACATTTCATATAAGTGAGATCATACAATGTGTAGTCTTTTGTGACTGGCTTCTATCACTCAGCATAATATTTTTGAGGTTTAGCTATCTTGTAGCCTGTAACAATACATCATTCCTTTTATGGATTAATAATATTCCGTTGTGTGGATATACTTACCATTTTTTATTTATCCATTCATTTGTTGTTGGAATGTTTTGATTGCTTTCACCTTTTGGCTATTACTAATAAAGCTGCTGTGAATGTTCATGTACAAGTTTTTGTATGGCCATTTCTTCATTTCTCTTGGATATATACTTAGGAGTAGAATTGTTGGATTATATGTTAAACTGTATTTAACCTTTTGAGGAACCGCCAAACTGTTTTCCAAAGTGGCTGTACCATTTTGCATTCCCACCAGCAGTATATGATGATTCCAATTTCTCCACTTCCTTGTTAGCACTTGTCATTATCTGTCTTTTTGATTAAAGCCATTCTAGTGGAAGTGAAATAGTACCCTCATTTTGGTTTCAATTTGTGTTTCCCTAGTGGCTAATGGTGTTGAACATCTTTTCATGTCCTCATTGGCCATTTGTTTATCTTCTTTGGAGAAATATCTATTCAAGTCCTTTTATTATTGAGTTGTAAGAGTTCTTTATATATTTTAGATACAAGTCCCTTGTCAGATATAATATTTGCAGATATTTTCTCCCATTCTCTGAATCTCCCTTGCTTGATGTTGCCCTTTGAAGCATAGAGGTTTTTAATTTTGATGAAGTGCACCTTATCTATTTTTTCTTTCATTACTTGTGCTTTTAGTGTTCTATCTAAGAAAGTATTGCATAATCCAAAGTCATGAAGACTTATGCTTATGTTTACTTCTAAGAGTTTTATGGTTTTCATGCATACATTTATATTTATGATTTATTATTAGTTAATTTTTATATATGGTACAAAATAGAGGTCCAAGTTCATTCTTTTTCATGTGGCTATCTAATTGCCTCGGCACCACTTGTTGAAAATATTATTTCTTCCATTGAATTGTCTTGACATCCTTATATAAAAAAATCAATTAACCATAGGATAAGATTTTAAGATGGGAACTGGTGTGATCTGATTCACATTTGAAAAGGATCAATCTCTCCGAAGAATGAGTTATAAAGAGGTGAAAAGGAAGTAGAGAGATCAACTGGGAAGCTGTTATAATAATCCCAGCTAGAGTCCAGTGGTGGCCTAGTCTAGTGGTAGTGAAGGAGATGGAAAGATTTATAGTTTCAAGATTATACTTTGGGGAGAGCATTGACTCAGCTGAATGTTGTTTATTGCTACTTTTCCACTTGTCCATGTAACAACCATCATTTCTACTTTCCCTTGTTATACTTTCTTTCAGGTGGTCTTCAGAATTTTTCCTGTTTTTTTTAACTTTACTTTGATGTTCTTATTTCCTATTTCTCTCGTAAGCCTCAACTTTCCATTACTAAAACTACAAACTTATTTGTATCTACATCTATCATTTCCTACTTTACTATTTCCTTAATTCTTTCAGTTCCCTGAGGAGGTGGAAATCTCTTTTTCCTTTCCCAATTATTTTTTCTATCTCTTCTGTCTTCCATATCTCCCCTTTTAAAAGCATTGTCTCATTAGATGTAAATGTTCTTAGCTGTACCCCATCTTTTTTTCATGTCAGGTTTGTTGAACTGTAATTTACCTATGGTAAAATTCACCCTGTTTAATGCTTACTTAGTTCAGTGAGTTTTGACAAATCTATAGTTGTGAAAACACCATAGTAAAAAAAATAGAACATTTCATCATTCCAGAAAGTTCCCTCATGCACCTTTGCACTCAATCCCTGCCCTCCTTCCTCAGCCCTGGAAACCCTTGATCTCATTTCTGTCCCTTTAGTTTTGCCTTTTCTAGAATGTACTATAATGGAGACATACAGTATATGGTCTTTTGTGATTGGCCTTTCACGTAGCATAATACTTTTGAAACTCATCCATATTATTATACATCTCAGTAGTTTGTTCTTTTTATCATGAAGAAATATTCCATTGCATGAATATGCCATTGTATGGATTATCCATTCATCTCCTGATAGCCTTTTGGGTTCTTTACAGTTTCTGGCTGTTAGGGATAAAACTGCTGTAAACATTCACATACAGGTATTTGCGTGGACCTGTGTTTTCATTTCTCCTGAGTGAATACCTAGGAGTAGAATTGGTGGGTCATATAGTAAGTGTGTGTTTAACTTTATAAGAAACTGTCAGGCTGTTTTCCAAATTGGCTGTACCATTTTGCATTCTCCTCAACAGTTTGTGAGAGTTGTAGTTGCTCTACATTCTCGCCAATCCTTGGTATATTTAATCTTTCATTTTAGCCATTCTAATACATGTGTAGTGGTATCTCACTGTGCTTTTAATTTGCATTTCTCTAATGACTGATGAAGTCTTCTTGAGCTTATTTATCAGCCCTATATATTCTTTGGTGAAGGATCTGTTTAGATCTTTTGTCCATTTTTTAATTGAGTTGTTACTTATTATTGAGTTCTGAGAGTTCTTTATGTCTTCTCAATACACTCCTTTCTTAGACGAGTATTTGTAAATATTTTCTCCCAGTCTATAGCTTGTCTTTTCATTTTCTTAGCAGTGTCTTTCAAAGAGAAGATGATTTTAATTTTGACAAAGTTCAATTTATCATTTTGTTGTGATTGATGATATTTGCTTAGTAATCTGAGATCACAAAGATTTTTCTTTTGTGTGCTAAATATGGAAATATAAATGTGAACAAAATATACAAAGGTACTTGTCTTCATTTTTTTCCCTGTGTTTTCTTCTTATAGTTTTAGCTCTTATGTTTAGGTCTATGATCCATTCGAGTTAATTTTTGTTTGTGTGTGTGTTTTACTTTGTCTGTTTTTGTTAACAAGTTCATTCTGCTACTAGTGATAACAGTAGAGCCTAAAATAAAAGCAGTTTTACAGAGTTCTCTGGATGATTGGAATAATCTAGTTAATTGCATGAAAGATCCAAGTTTTTCATGAAAAAATCCTTTTTAATTTCCAGCTATATTCTAACTTAAATTTTTAACAAAAGAAAATATAATTAATAAATAATAAAAATTCACTATGTGACTTTAATATTTTTAGGCAAGGATCAAAGTTCAGTTTTTTTCATACGGGTTGTTCAGCCGCATTTGTTAAAACTACGATGCTCCCTTATTGAATTTTGATAGCTTTATTGAAAATTGAGTCTACACATGTGGGTTATCCCATCTTTTAGCGAAGACCTCCCTCAACCCAACATGCCCATTAACTAAAAGTTCATCACTTCTACCTCTTCATAGCCGTTCTTTAAAGAGTGTTCTAGACTCACTATTTCTGCTTCCTCACTTCTTATTCCTCACTGGACTGTCTCTACCATTCCATTAAAACAGTTCTTGCCAGAATCACCAGTAATCTCTGTTTTGACATCCAGTGGACACTGTTTTGTTCTTGTCTCATGTGATTCTCAGTGGCCTCATTGATCCCTCCCTTCTCTTTCAAACACTTTCTTCCCTTGACTAAGGTAGCATCCCACCATCCTGCTTATTTTTCTTCTGTTTTTCTATTTGTCCCTATGTGTCTGCTTTGCTAGTTCTTCTTCTTTTGCCTATTTCTTAAACATCAACGTCCCTCAGGATTCTGACCAAAGCCCTTTTTAGTTCTCATTCTATGCACATTCTCTCCTTATTCCCGTCTAATCCCCTTGTTGAAGAATCTCAAATTTATATCTGGCCTAAATCTTTTCTGAGCTTCATTTCTGCATATTTGACTGCCTACCAGGACCATGAGCTCTATGAAGAAAAGTACCTTGTGTATATCTTGTTCACATTTCTATTCCCATGTTTAGCACACAGGACTTCATAACTATTTGTTGACTAAATGAACAAATGAATACATGAACAAAGTAAGCAACCTATGCAGTTGATATAATTCTAGTACAGTATTTTAATATTGGCCCTTTTACTGATAAAACCGAATATATGTAGTGAGTATATAACTATGGCCACAGGAGAAGTAAATTATTTTTAGAATCATGTACTTTGTCTTTGCCATGGCTCAGTTTTCCTTTTACAGTTGGTAGGGAATCTTGGGGTGAAGAGATGGGAATCAGATCCTGGCCAGGGGCCAGGAATGAGATGAGAGAGCAAGGAGACATTTCTTCAGATGTTGCAAACACTGTTTCTCAGGTTTTTTTAGTCCAATAATTTCCTTCAGGAATTAAATTCTCTTGTTTGGGGAATAAAATATTTTAATGGCCCTATTAATTTCTCATTGCAGCTTTAGTTATAATACATTATTTCTCTTTGACTTTTCACCCAAATTTTTCTAAGTCCCTGTAACATTTTTTTCTTAGCCCTAAAATGATTCTCGAGGGTAATATAGGAAGATGTAAACTGGGTAATGTAGATTCTTTTGGATCCAGTATGATGACTATTTTTATGAACTGAGTGTTCACATCAAAGAATGTATATACTTCTTATGGGCTTAGCATTATGCCTGGAGCTTTGGGGTTATTTGTAAAATATCTAAGACACAATCTTCATTGCTGCCCTCAGGGGGCACACAACTTTAGGGGAGATGAGAGCCACAACCAGCAAGTAAACAGCAACATCTGTCAAGCAGTTTGTAGTGTCTGTTGCATATTGCTTGGCAAGAAAAATAGTGTCCTGCCACTAGACATGTATCTTTGACCCTGCCTGTCACTGCAAGCTGTTCTGAAAGTGTTTAGGGTTTATCTATAAATGCCCTTTTTATTTGTTCTGGAGCCTGCAATCCCTTACATTTCTCTATCTTTCTCTCCTACATTTCAGTGAGCGGTTTCTGGTGAGACTGAACAAGAATGGTGGGCCAAGGAACCCAGAGAAGATAGAACGAATGTGTGCCCTTTTTACAGTATGTGCAAATTTTCTTTCCCTTCTCTGCTGTTGACTCTAACCAGGGGCCTGTTATGTGGATATTGTCACCATGGAAACGAGCATTTATTCTTATTTCCCCACACATTGGGGAGAATAGGACTTAATTTATGTTTCTCTCAGGTTTCAATGAAATATTTAAAGACAGCTGAAATTAGCTTCAGTTTTTAATTGAATTTTTTATTAAAGAAATATAATCAAGTGCCTTTTACTGACATACATTTTAGAAGCTACTTTATATGATAATCACTTAAAGTCTGAGAAAAGTCTTTCTTATTATTCTTATTCAAGACCGGTGGACATCCCTGATGTCTAAGTGTAGTTTCTGTAAAGGCATCCGCCAAATTTACCGCTGTGCAGTTTTTTAGTGAGTGCATATAAAGAGAGACAAATGAAGTAGTTCTTATCTTTCAAATACCAAACAGAGGGTCTTTTCCTGCGATAATCTGTACGTCAGTTTTTTCTGAATAACCATGCTTTTGCTCATAGTCTCTGAGATCATGGATTCATTAGCCCAGAGAAGGCTTGGTAATCTGTTTATTGGAATGTGCTAAGCCTCACAATACCACATTGCCTTGTGTATTCTTCATGTTGCTTCTGATTTACTAAATTTTTTCTACTCAGTTAAAAAACTAAATGCTCAGCTTTATTTATTTGAGTTGATTTATTTGCTGAAAAAGAAAACAAGACTGTGTCAAAATTTTAAACCAGTTTGGACTATCGTGGATTTTTTGGACTATCGTGGATTTTTTTATCTGCTTTAGTGATACTGAGATAGATCAAGACCCATTGAGTGTGGGGAGGTGTGATCGTCTCACAATGCCACTGCCCTTGTGTGAGTTGCACAATTGATAGTAGGGTGTCTTAAAGTGGAGTGTCAAAGTCTTACAGTGGAGTTCTTAAAGAAAAATGGAATGTCTCGGGATCTGATATGTGATTTTCTCTTAAAGATAAAATTGGACTTGTTTACCTCACTTTTTTGTTTGTTTACTACAACTTTGTCTTTCAAAATCTCAAACAATATTACTGGAGAATCAGAAACCACTTTCACAAGGATAGCTTTTATTGAAAATGTGCCAGAGGTACAGAAATATTTATAAATCTATCTAAGCTACAGTGATGTTTTGTCCATCTTTGAGCTCAGCATTCAAAGTTTAGGAGACAACACAGGAAGAAAGAGCAAGAAAAGCAGACCCATGAAGCTGGTTAAGGGAGTTGAGATAGTTTAGTCCGGGAAGATCAATGCTTTCTCTTCAATAGGAAAAGAACAAGGGAAAGAGTTCAAAGTGCACTTAATGAGATTTAGGTTAGAGTATTGGGAGAGAGCTTCTGAAGTAAGAGTGCCTAAACACTGAGATAGTTCTCTGGGGCCGCCTTTCTGAAACAGAATTAGAAAGAAATGAGATACTCGTATGTCTAGAATGTCTCAGTCACCTTAGGTTTTTCTAGATCCTGGTTTTCTGGTATTATTTGGTTAAAGCAGCAAAAGAAATTGTTGATTCCTTATTCTTTGGCATTGTGGCAACAGAGCTGTGTGCATGTGCTATCCTTGAATTTGATGAGTGCAGACTTTGTCTCTTAAAAAATGAACTTCATTATAATAATATTTGAATATAATTACAGTAAATCAAAACTTTCATTTTGCTGCATTTTAATTATCTGTATGGGCCCAGAGGGCTAAGCTGTAGCTCCAACTTTATAAATCAGAGATACACCTAACACTCATAATGTGCTCTTATTCTGCCACAATGAGAAGGCACAAGGCTGCTAAAAATACCACTTCTATAGTCCACTTTCCAGTACAGCCCTGGATTTTTTTTAAAAAAGATCCCAAAAGTGATTTGAGGAATTTTTACAAAGCGCATAAGATTTTTGAATAAGATTGTCTTAGCCAAGATTTTCATGTTTTACTTTAAGCTATAAAAAATAATAATTTTGGTGGAACCTGTTTTCTGATTATCTAAGACTTGAATTCCTCCTGTGGGCTAAAAGAATTTTCCAGATTGGTATATATGTGTTACAAAGTTTCAGAATAAATGCAAGAAAATGCAACCACAGCTGTGGTCAGTGCCAACCTCTTAGCTTACCATAGCTTCAGGAAAAGAGGACCATACAAACTGAGCAGTTTTGCAGGATTACTCAAACCGACTTCAGAGCCATATTACAAACAGTCACATTATCCATGGCATAACCTTGTTCTCTGTAAAGCCTGGTTTTTCTAACCTTGTTAGATTTCAGAGCTTCCTGTGCAGGAAGAGTTTTATCCAAAAGGGAGATGTTTCATATTTATGAATGTCTAATACAGTGAAGATTTTTCTGACTTTCAAATTAGAAACAATGGCTGTGTGTATGAGTGTGTAAGAGCATGCCTGTGTATCCACTCATTACTACATATCTAGTGCCTCACACATAGTGCCTGGCAAATACTAAAGCCTCAGTAATCATTTGTTATATAAATAAATATATGTTTATATTTTATTATATTTGAGTGACCAACTCAGAGAATGAACTTGTGCTGTTTTCTCTGCATTAGTTGGAAGTCTATTTTCTACATTTTTTTACACTCTTCCACATTTCAAAATAGAATTTTAGGTAGTAATTCCTTGGAATTAAGAATGAAGTTGATTATTAGTATAATAACATCACGTGTTAAAGTATTGCCTCCTTTTCTGCAGCGTTAGTATGAATAAATTGGCTCTGTTTTGTATTTGTACATTCCATTATCTCTACAGAAAAAGAGCAGTCCAGGCACAGGGAAGTAAATTGACTTTTCCATGTTTCAAATGGCATATCAATAACTGAGTCTAAGATGCTGAGCCCTGAGTCACTGCCCTGTCTACCCACTGTGTAGTTGGGAACCAGCTTCTAGTTCTATAGGACTGGAGAGTATGGTTCAGTGAGTAAATCTAAATTCAAACCCTGCTCACCAGGTGAATGATGAATTGAGTCACCCCTCTTCCCTTCTTGGTTTACAGTCTTGTGAGTATTTTAACATGGATAACCACACCTGGTTCTTAGTCTGGAAGAGTTTATGTTTAGTAATTCTATGGTAACTGTGTTTAACCATGCACTTATATTTAATAAGATAGCTTTTACATTGAAATTTGGCATTGAAATTAAGTAGGACTCACAAGTAATAATTTTAGTTCAAATATTTTCTTGCACTGATTATTATCATATTATGTTTGTTGACCTCAAATAAACACCATAGAGAGTTCTGGGTACCATGTACAACATGGTCAGAAAGAGCCCCTACCCAGCCACTTGGAAAATACCATAAATGATATTTAAGCCTTCTTTCTTTTATTCACTCAGACAGAGCCGAGGCAGAGATCCTGTGCTCTTATATGCAACCCATCTGATTAGTGTTTGTTCATCTTTGGTAACTGGCTTGAATTCTCTAGATTTATTGAGATTGATAATTATTTTGGTCATTTGATAGTTTGGATTAACACAATCTAGTATGTAGAAGGAACCATTTCACTCTGATATGTGTCAAATGTTTCTGTATCCTTCAGTAATAGACATGTTTCAATCCCCAAAGCACATGAAAATGGTAATCTGCTTTTCAATTTCTATTTGTTATTTAGTAGCTCTCTTAATAAGTTTCAAAATACAATGCTATTTTAAGAATATCATTTTAAATTCTATTTCTAAATTAAAGGAATTAGTTAAATGGAGCCTGAAACATCCTTTTTCAATATCAAAAGACAGCTTTTTTTGTAAAAATGTATCTTTGTGATTCCAGAGATAGCAATTTATGTAAATTATTTTGTAATGTATTTTATTGTAAGCATATTTCATTGTTCTATCAAGTATTTGGTGAAATATTATAACCATTTAGAATCTAAAAGTTTCAATTTTACCATTACACATTACTTTTTAATGTTTCCTTTGCTCTCATATGTTTGAGACCACTCTAGAGGGCAGAGCTGGGACTAAGGTGAGATAACCAAAGTACAGAATCCTGAGAGTGAGACCTCCTTAAATTTTGCACCTTAGCTGTTTTGCTTGTCTTGCCGTAGTCCTAACCCTGCAATAAGGTATAAAAATAAAGCAAACATGGGGACTCGATCTCAAAGCTCATTCGAAATTTTGACTGCCACTTGATTGTCCCTCTTCCTGCTTTATTGAAGAGAGAAAAACATCTGGGACCAATCAGAAGATGAAAGATGGGAAGGAAATGAAACTAAGGGACTTTTTCCTAGAAGCAGAAAGGAAATAATGGGAACCTGATTTGGAGGTTACTCCATATTCACAACAATGGCTTGGAGTGAGCAGCAAGTTAATGATCTGGTGAAAAGTGTGAAACAGGATATATATTTAAAAAGTTTTATTAATTGAAGTACAGTGTGTTAAAGTATAAGTACCCATAAACAAACATTTTATTTCAAAATGCCTTCTGAACAAATAATTTAATGTATAAAATTATTTCCATAACTGTAGTTTTAAAAGTTTCTGATTCTGAATCAGATTTGTTTACTTAAAGGAAGCCCCTAAAATTTTCCAGATAACATTATTTTCAGCTTTATACTTCAGTACAAATGGTAAATGTCTAAAGGTAGAAATGGAGATCAAATTAAGCTCAGCTGCTGTGATAGTGTATAATAATCATTTGTGGACAACAGAATAAATGTAAAATTAGTAACGGATAAACTTGTAGATTTTCAGTTGTTAATGAGCTTTTTGGTGTTTTCTTACTTTTCTCTGCATTGAACATTTCTTTTGTTAAAAAATGTGTGGGGTTTTTTGAGGAAGATTAGCCCTGAGCTAACATCTGCCATCAATCCTCTTCTTTTTTTGCTGAGGAAGATTGGCCCTAAGCTAACATCTGTGCCCATCTTCCTCTATTTTATATGTGGGATGCCTGCCACAGCATGGCTAGATAAGTGGTGCATAGGTCCGCGCTCAAGATCCACACAGGTGAACCCCAGGCTGCCAAAGATGCCAGCTTAACTGCTATGCCACCAGGCTGGCCCCACAAAATATTTTTATGTGATGTTAGAATAAACATGGGTAAGGCAATATCGTGAAGATTTCTAATGTGAAAACACTTATAGATATTTGTTAGTTCTAAATAAGAGCTGGAAAAATATGGTCAATAAAATAAACTTCCCAAGGCATATAAGATATCCAAACTTTCACTGCAGCAATCTTATAAACATTAAACTGCTATGAATCCCCCTCCTCCACCTATAACATACACTAAAAGTGACAAAAGCAAACCATTATGAGGTTCAAAATGAAATTTTAATTCTTTTCTGTGTATTCATTGCCTTAATTTACTTATTTTTTCTCTTCTCTTAGGATCTGAGCAGCAAAGATATGAAGAGAGATTTATATATAATTGCCCATGTGATACGAATAGGTACTGTCCACCTTGTCTATTCACATGATTAAGACCAGCCCAACTTGGGATAAGTATCTACTATGTATGAGCTTTGTCTTTTCCCTAGATCTTACCTGTTATGTCAGGTCTCAGGAGTAGAGTTCAGCTTGTATTACAGTTCTTCTTTAAGCTCAGCTACTGTCATAGCTGAGTTTGATATAAAGGAATGCATATTTTTTTCACTTGAAATCTTCTGCTTCCTATTTGTTTTTCGTACCCAAACTCTTTTTTCCAAGTGGTCTACTTTTTGACATTCTCTTCCTCACAATACCCTGCTTCTGTACCAGCCCTCCATCTCAGAGATCTTATAGAAGGTTGCCAGAGTTACCAGTTTAACAGGTGATAAATTGCTTTGCTGTGTTTCATATCCACAAGTGTCTATCTATGCTATTTTCTACAAAATTACTGTGCTTACTGCAGTAGGTGAAAGGTATCTCACTTATACCCCAACTCAAGATGAAAAAAGTGATTTTTGTTACTGCTCTGTGGTTGGTTTCCCAGCCTTATTTCAAGTTTATGACATAATCTGGGGGGCTGTGACTAACCAAGTCTTCCTCCATAGATTTAGGCTCTGGCGTATCTTGTACATTTTTGTCAAAGGATATTTTTTAATGCTTTGCCAACAAAACAACTGTTTTGCTGTACTTTTCATTTTTGTTTTGCTGTACCTAATAAAGCATTTGTTGAGGTTCAAGTTTTGCATTTGTAAGTCCTTTTGCTACTGTAGGTACAACCTTGGTAAGCTGGAAAATCAAGCTTTCGTCTACTTTCTGAGACTGCTTTCACTCCCAGAGTGGTTTTGGAGCAGTTTTGGCACAAAATTTGGTTGGAAAAATAATAAATTGTCCTCCTTATCTGTGCATACATAGTTTTTACCTGGCAGCTAAAATACTAAACTTTGTATCTTTAATATGCCTAAAAAGTTTAACTGTTAGCACACTATTTTTTCTAAGAAATTCATGAAACCACTGTTTTATTTTTATATGATTAATAAATGGACTGTTGGTGTTGAGGTACATTGTAAGGACGATTGATTGAATGTGGTGCAGGGGAAGATCCCTGGCCAAAGGCCTGTTTTGCATTCCTCCACATAAATATCCTTGCATCTTTGGATGACTCCCTTCACTCCTAAATTAGTCTTCCAGTTTAGAGGATCTCTAAGCTGCCTATAGCTCTGGCATCCTTGGATGAAAATCAGGTGATGCTGAAGAGAAATTTGGAATTCTTAATCTGACTGGTGTTTTCTGCTGTACGCCAGGCCGGATGCTCCTGAATGACTCAAAGAAGGGCCCTGCTCACCTGCACTACCGGCGACCGTATGGCTGTGCAGTCCTAAGTATCCTGGATGTCCTACAGTCGCTCACAGAATTAAAGGAAGAAAAGGATTTTGTTCTTAAGGTTTACACGTGAGTAATGGATGTTGGAAATGTTAATGATTGGCAACATTAGACATCCCAGCACTGTTGACAGTTCTCAAGCTTTGTGGGACACAGAATCTTCAAGATATGTTGGATAGGGAGTTTTTTGAAAATGCAGAGACTTCGAATAAGGTTTGGGTTGGGGCTTAAACAGCTATATTTTAAATAAGTTTCCCAGGTGATTCTGAATCAGCTGAATTTGGAACCTTCTGTCCTAAAGTAAAAGTCTGGTAGTACACATTTCCTCTTCTATCCAGGATTAACCAACCTTATATATTCACAGGAAAACTAATAATGTAATTTCTCATGTGTTTTGGATATAAAAGAGTCCTCCGTGTCTAATACTTGCCCACCAGCTATTGTAACTGAGCTGGTTACTGATGCAGATTTCTTCAAAGAATGACCACAAGTCAAGGTGCCCTATCTTTGAAGAAAAGCCAGTTTTTCTGAGGAGCTGAGGTTTCACTCTTCACTTCTGCCACCACAGATCTGTAAGACACGTCCAACCAGGTGTGGCATTATTTTTAGTGTTCATAAGCCAAAGGGTCTGCCTTATAGAAGCAGTATGTTTCCTCCTGACTCTTGTTAAGCAATAGAAAAAAACAAGGAAAAGAAACACAGAATCCAGGCATATCATCTGGATTTGCTTACAGAGACTTAGGCATGAATAGTAGTACTGAAAACATGATCAGTCTTGAGGGTTTTTTTGGGTTTTTTTGTAAGGAAGATTGTCCCTAAGCTAACATCTGTTGCCAATCTTCCCCTTTTTGCTTGAGGAAGAGTGTCACTGAGCTGACAGCTGTGCCAATCGTCCTCCATTTTATGTGGGATGCTGCCACAGTGTGGCCTTACAAGCAGTGCTAGGTCCACACCCAGGATGCAAACCTGCAAACACTGGACTGCAGAAGTGGAGCACATGAACTTAACCACTACCCCGCTGGGCCGGCCCCGTAGTGAGTTTTTAAAGCAGCTGTATTTCTAACTGTGAGATTTTTTTTTTAAAATCTGTCCTCTTTTGGTTTCAACCCAATATTGTTTTTCCAAATTAAATCTTATACTGCCAATCACCATGTTAATATATCTTCACCATAATATTGTATGGATATTTTTCTGTATTATCTGTCCTATCTGATTCAGTCAGGAAATGAACTTAATTCATAATTACACTTAATTTGGACCTTTATGTAATCAACCACATTTTATTAAAGTTCCACTTTAACATCTAAAATATAAATCCTACATAATTCCATCCATAATATCTTAATTGCTCCATAATGGTCACATAAAATGTCACCTGTTTTCAATAGTAATACCAGTGTACATTTGTTTAGTGCTCTGTGCTCTTTCAGAGCTCTTCTGGATGTATAATCACATTGAAACTTTATACCAATCTTGTGCACTGAGTGGGGGTTCACCATCTTACTGAGGAAGAGATGGTCAACACCATGGTTAAGTAAGTGACTCGGCAAATTAATGACATTTCTTAGAAGAACAAGAGAATGGTAGTAATCATATTTTAATTTAAAAAAATTAATCTTTTATTTAACCTATAGTGATTCAAAAACAGCAACAATAACAAAAAATGCTAGGAATAGAAGTCATGTCACAGGCTTTATAGAACAGGTTATTTTTAAAATGTTAATTCTTCCTTATGGTCAATGTTTAGTTTTTATTGCTGTTGGGTTATCATACTTCTTATTAACCAGTAATAATAAAGGCACAAATTAGGTTAGAAAACTGCATTAATATTTCTGTTACTAAAAATTTGGACATTTCTATCCTGAAGGAAACCCAAATAGAAATAAATGCAGCATATATAATCATCCATCACAAAGGTCCATGTAAGAACATAGATCATACGGTACAACAGCTGCTGTAAAAGAGCATTTGAGAAAAATCAGAATGCCTAGACCAAAAGACAGAAGAAAGCCCATCCATATCAATTATAACAGTAAATATAATTGAGATGAAAGAAAACCCTATTAGATAAAAATTCTGGAAAAAGAGTCCAAAAAAATCCATCTATGTGATATAGTAAGAGACAAAGATAGTGGGAGACACAAAAAGATTAAAGCCGGCTAAGTATAGTAGTCAAATACAAACAAAATGAAAATATGTCACAATATTAATGATAAATTAAGGTAAAATCTATGGAATGAGTGTCCTGTGTCAGGAAAATCAGGGATTGATAGAAAAAGAACACACACACTGTAAGGTTAAATTTGATTTCCTATTTATCCTCCAAGAACTCATGATCTCACGGGAAGCGAAGTGACTTCTCAGGCCAGGCACAGACACAGCACATGACAGCACCACTCACTCCCTCAGCCCCAGAATCCCCAGCAGGACCAGCCCCTGATTACTTGGTCTCTGCAAAGTAGAGGGTTACTTCTATGCTACCCATTAAACTCAGGGTTCCTACCTCCATTCTGGAGACATTTGCCCAACAGTCCATGTACTTCAGTTTAAAGAAATCTTGACCAAACTCAGCCTTAACATACCTACTTCCTTAACTGGGGGAGAGAAAGCAGGATGAGAGTCTAGGTGTCCTTGCCAACATCTCTGCCTCTATCTCACCTGTGTTCCAGAAAGCCCTTTTTTTCCCCTCAACAGGGATAGAAAGAGCTTTTATACCAATACATGGTGGAATGTATGGTGAAGATCTGGTTGTCATGACCTTTATGTATATAACTAACATGCCTCTTCACAGGTAAGAAGACAAAAATAAATAAGGTTGGAGACAAATATCTAAATCAGATAAATAAATCTGACTTAGGAGAGAATCTGAGTAAAATTGATGTGACAGATAATGACAGTCATCATTGTTACGCACTCATCATGAGCTGTTACTGTCTGTCTTTTACAGATGAGGAAACAGGGCAGAGGATGGTGAGGCATGTGCCTGAGCAGCCTGGTTAAGAGACCATACTCTTAGCCACTTTTTCTCCTACCTCTAAGTAGGGTGAGCATAATTTATCATCTAAATCAGGACTCTGTAATAGTCAAAAGGAGTGATGTTGATGCCAGCACAGTAGGTATAACCAGAATATCCCAGCTCCCCAAGCCATATGTCTCCCAGCTCTAAGCAAATTTTTTGTCCAACAAACAGAATATATCTTTTCTGCTGCTCATGGAACACTTACAAAATTTATTCATAGAAAAAATTTCTATAAATTCCACAAGGCACAAGCCGCATTTTCTGATCACCATGCAGTTAGCATAGAATACATCAGAGGGGAAAAAACTATGCAATCATCCTAATATCAAAAAAGATACTTGACAAAAGTCAACCTTCATTCCCCATTATTTAATAATTTCTGCTTAGTAAACTAAGAATAAAATTCTGTTTTTGCAGTTTGAGGGGGCTAATGGATATCAATAGATTGGTTCTGAGATTAGAATGTTAAGCAAGTGTATATAAAAACGGCTATACAATGTAGAGTAGCATAGATATAAATTTGCAGTGTGTATATATATGTAAGTAGTACAGATAAGTGTGTCACCTTTATTAGTGACAAAACTTAGATTTGAGATTATAGTCTAGATCTGTGAGCCACGTGGACTTTTGTATTTGTTTCCTATGACTAGTATAACAAATTACCACAAATTTGGTGGTTTAAAGCAAAAGAAATTTGATCTCAATCTGAAGGCCAGAAGTCCTGAATCAAGATGCCAGCAGGACAACACTCCTTCTGGAGTCTCTAGGGTAAAATCTGCTCTTTGCATCTTCCAGCTTCTGATGGCCATAGCATGCCTTAACTTGGGGCTTCATCACTCCAGTCTCTGCTTCTGTGGTCACATTGCTTCCTCTTCTGTCTGTATCTTTTTCTCTTCTGTCTATCTTAAATTTCCCTCTGCCTTTTTCTGAGAACATTTGTCGTTGAACTTGGGCTCAACCAGATAGTCCAAGATAATCTCCTCATCTGAAGATCCTTAACTAATTACACCCATGAAGACCATTTTTTCAAATAAGGCAGTATTCACAGGTTCCAGGGATTAGGATACGGACATATCTTTTTACCATTCAACCCACTACAAGTTGTGATTAACATAACCCTGAATTAGAAAGACTTTTAAAGTCACCATCATTGTGGAGCCTGGTGGTGCAGAGATTGTATGCTTTCTGCAAACAGGTTGGTCCCAAAAGGAAAGAGGAAGAACTGAGATGTTCATGCCTGGGTCCTTCTCCTGGAAGCACTGGCCAAAGAAGTCACTTCTTCTCCCAGGAAAGTGATGGAAGGGACAGAGGTGTTACTCATGGAAGCCCTTCTACCACCTGAAAATAAAAGTAAAAATAAGTATTCCTGAAAGGTGCCATCAGCATCATGGCAGAGTGAGTTGTTCCCTTTGTTTCTCCCCTGTAAGTTACAACCAGTAGGACATCCATGGCCCAACAAAAGATTCTCTGCACAGCACACCAGAATGCCTGAGAGATCCATAGATCTATACATCTGAAGGTGGGTGGACTGGACCTCCTGGAGACATTGAAACAAGGGGAGCAGTAGCAGCAGCTCCTGAGACTAGAAGCTCCAGGGCTGCAGCCATGCCTGCAACCAGAGGTCCCAGGAGCTGCAGTAATGCCCATGAATGGAGGCCCCAGGAACCCAGGCAGCCCATGCTCCCAGCGGCACCAGAAAATGCTGAGGGACCCATACCAGAGGCTCCAGGAACCACAACTGTACCTCTAACCCAGCCTCCTCCTACATCCAAGACCCCAGGCCCCCAACAGCAGCGGAAGTGTCTGTGACCTGAGGTTCTAGGAACCATGCTGGCACCCAAGACCAGAGGCTTCAGGAGCCCTGGCAGTGCTTGCAACCCAGATAGCCCTACCCCTGTGGCAGTAGCATTGTTGCCCATGACCCCAGCTCACCTGGCAGCAGTGGTGACACCTACGAACCCAGTGGCCCTGGCAGCATGGTACCAGTGCCCCCAGAAAATCTGGGAGTAGCAGTGCCTGAGCCCTTGGAGAGCCAGGTAACAGCAACAGC